TACCACACTCACTACGCATTGGCTAATGCTCTCCCGCTGTACATCGTCTGGTCGCTTCCATTTCTGACGTAATCAAACCTTAGGGGATGAAGCTCCAGTCAGCAAAGTCTACCTGATCATTGCAACGACCGGGGACAATGCATTCATTAACTGTGTGGATAGCTGAATTACTTGTTCATTATACTCGTCATGTGTAGCCACAGGTGGGCGCAATTTAGTGTCTAACCGTACATTTTAATAAGCAGATTCTGATTTTCAAAGCACGTCTCCTGGAAAGTAACAAACCTTATTTCTGTTTACACTCATACATATCTTTGGACGAACCGATCGCATTAGGACATATGCTGATGTAGTGGTGGTGAGTTCTTTTTTCCAAGCCTTTTCGTAGAAATCCATTTAAAAGGTCAAGTACACTCACACATCGGCTCTCTTCTGTCGATGAAGCGTTAGAGTGTTTACAAACCTTCCATCCCACATTCAACAAGGAATGGCTTGCTCGGTAGCAAGATTAAATCATTGAACACTGTCCAGAATTTTGTCTTACGATAAGGCTCGGTGGTTAGAGCACTAACTTACTGACCGGAAGGTGCGTGGTTCGAACCCAATCTCTGCATCTCGACTTCTACTGTCTAGACTAGGACAATCTGACAGTATCCCAGCTTTCATGCTTCCTTCGGATGGCATGGTAGCTAGGGACCGAAAGGGTGTTACAGCTGAATGACTGACTTACTATCTACTATCCCTCTGATGGCGCCATCTACGTGCTTATCTTCCGCCCTTTCAGCATGACATTCACAACCAGCCGAGAACGGTTTGCAATATCCTCTCAACCGGTTACCGAGCACACCTTCGGACACATCAATGGTTAAAGAGATTGCCAGATATGACCCAGCGGTGCCATCAATGGCGCTTGTGCATCCAAGCTGTTGCCTTCACCGCATAACTCCCCTCCCTATCTCCCTAATGAAGAGTCCATTTACAACCTTGTATTTACACATCAATTATATCATCTACCCTTCAAATGCGCAGCTATATACGCCGTTTCCCCAAATCACCGGTGAACAAAACTGTGGCAGCTCGAACCACTATACGGCAAGTACGTGGATTTTACAGCTGATGGTGATTCAGAGGAGGTCGCTTTTGCTGAATCCTTAGGAGGCTTCGCACTGTTGAGCCCTTCCGGAAAAGACCTTTTTTCATAGATCTTTCCAGTAGAGGAACAGGTGTACCATGGTATTAGTGACCGAGGAAACATCGTTTTCTCTCATCACCGAGAAATATACGTCATTTCAGCGTTTCCGTTTTTTTCAGTATCACATAAGTACTTCTAAGCCAATTTGTTAAATGCCATGTTGACTTATCCTTCCTCCCGTACCACCCAGTGGACCCAAACAATCGTTTTCGGAATGCTGTGGTTGCTTCAAAGAGTCGCATTCTGGAACCATCGCGCACGCTTCACTTCTTCAACGCGCCTCTCAACATATCTCCCGAGGATATGTGTCGTGTATTCACCGATTCTGGAGCGGTGTGTCCACCTCGTGTGGTACTATTCAACACAAAGGCAGGGCAGAAGACGTCGCTAGGTTTGTTTGGCTGTTGATTCGATTTTGGTTCATTCCATTCAAAGAACGCTGACATGTGTCTCGCACTCATAGCTTCTAAGAGGGGTTAGATTCAGAGCGCAGTTCGCAATGTCTTGGGTGTGGACCTAAGCACACGTAGTCCAAACGAAAATACACCGTCCTTGAACAGTACTCGAACCCACAACCTCTCGTCTACCGACTTGGGTTGGCTTCCGCTAGGTTCGGTTGGCAGACCATTCGCTCAGCTAACATGAGGTCGCCAGTTCAACTCCTATTCCAAGGCACTGTCTTTTCGTTCAGATTGTTTTTGCCCATACTGGAGATTTTCTAATTCACACCTACATTGATTTAAAATTACTACATTCTGGGTATCCGCGCGGCATGAATGTCTGGTCCACTGCGGAAGTCACACGAAGGACTTATTAATGACACTGGCAGATAGCAAGTGTTGATTCACCGGACAGAGGTATGGCGAATCAATGTGAACTCAATTGCACATGTGCGATGTGGGTCGACGCCCACACGAGCTCATTTGGTAGGCACTCGCTCCCTAAGCGATAGATCGCGGGTTCTGCTTCTGTCTAATGATTCTTTTCGTTTGCACTGTGTGTCTGACCCATAGCCAAAATTTTCCAAACGCCAGTTTCTCCTACGTCGATTAGTGTCAGCGGATGAATGTTTTCTCTGGCGTCCTAATATTCGACAGAATCTTCAAAGGCTCCAACAAGAGTGGCCTACGTTTAAGGTGGTTTCTGGCTTCTTTCCGAAAAGATCCAACTGTAAGTCCTACTGATATGGTTTCTGGCACCCTGGTGTACAAAGTCTTCCTGGAGTAAAACAACACAAGATTTATCGCTGACGAAGTAGTCATATTTTTAGATAGACAGCGTACCCCAACCCTTGCAACCCACTATCGTAACCTTTGCATACAGAATGAATTGTAGTCTGTGTTAGCTCGCCTGTTTTAGCTCTGGTGAACGCATACTTGCTTGCTTGAGATTGCTTTTCCACGAATTGCAGCGTAATTCAGCAGTGTTCCGTGTTGACTTGCTGTTCTATCAGGTTACACAGGACTTGTTCAGTAATTCCTTCTCATCTTACATTTCTCCGCATTTCGATCATCGGTGTAGCGCGGCTTGATTAGCTGACGCTTTCTGTGCTGGAACGCCTGGCCCAGAACACCTAAATCCTGCGAATACACCAGCCATATTTGTGTGTGATTCTGGTTGCGATGAAAAGAAGTTGCGCCCATTCGTACCACTTCTACTCCATCCCTTTACGTATTATAGGTTTGGTTGAGTGGGACACGCTATCCGAGGCCTTAGAAGCTCTCATCCTAGCCAATCAACGTCCGATCCACGTGGCTGAACTGGTTCACCCATTTCATCTGAAACTTGCCTTCAGTCCTAAACCCATTTCATCCGATGGTTTTGGTGTCTCTCTAATACGATATCCTGCCCCACCGTTTTCCGCGACTCGACCGGGTTGCGAGTACACTGACGTGGGACTCAGCGACACTTGTCCTCCTGAAGAAGATGAAGAGGAAGGGGTAGAACCAGTTACAGCGAAGGAATCAGCCTCAGAGACGGGTAACCACGTGTGTGCCTCTGAAGAAGAGAACCTCAATGGAACCAAGCATGACGATAGCGATCCAAACGAATCACGCGAAGTCCATCTGAACAATTCAAAGGAAATTTTGGTGACGGACGGAGATGATACTCCGAATGATAGTCCGTCAAGTCAGGCTGGCAGCCTCAACGGTTCCTGAACCACCATCTTGAATTGGTCGATTTTTGGTTGGTTTGGATTTTCTCCTAGTAACTACCACTTATAGGCACGTTCACCTGACACTTAAATTTTTCATAGACTCCACACCACTAGTAATCTCGATCTTGCTCCCAACATATACATGATTTCCATATTATTGTTATCATTAAAGTACTATTCCTATTGATATATGGATGATCACTATCTTTAATTTGATTTGTGCTTGTCATCCGTATATTGATAATATGCATTACAAGCAAGGAACATATTTGCTTTTTGTTCATACCATTGAGTTGGTTCTGGAAATTAAGGTAATAGTGATTTATGATATATTGTCTACCATTCATCGGTTGCCACGTGTTCAACTGCACCGTTTGGCAAGTATTACTGACTAATCGTTAACATTTCCAGCCGGCTTGATAGTCACATTTCATTCTTTACACTGGTGTATGCAGTGAGATTGTTTCACTGTTGGTTGGCTTATCTGAGTCTTGCTCTCAACTCGCCTGTGGAGTGAAAAGGTCCGCGAGGAATGGCATACTTCCAGCAAAAACATTTGCGTATAAGAGGTAGAAAACTTCAAATGGCGGTCCGTTACTTGAACTGGCACGTAAGATGCGCTAACATAATCAATACTAGACAGCTATAGCCAATTGAGATGAGAGAGTCGCGAATACGGTTGAGTGAATTTCATGTCCCCTCATACCAGGTGTATCAGAGTTGAGCTCGAGATAGCTTAGTGGTTAAAGCGCGAACTTACTGACCGGAAGGTACCCCACCTCTGCATCTCGGCTGCTCCCACCGGGCTCCTGGCAGTATCTCACCTTTCGTGCGGGAGCGAGATGGCTCAAGTGGTTAGAGCGCGAATTTACTGACCGGAAGGTCCGTGGTTCGAACCCGACCTCTGCCTCTCGACTTCCCCTGTCTAGGCTTGGGCAACTTGGCAGTATCCCAGCCCCCGTGCCTCCTTCGTGTGGCATGGCAGCTAGGCACCGAAAGGGTGCTACAGCTGAACGATTTTTACATATCAGTGGAAGTATCGTATTTCCTACACTGAAGTACTTCATACAATAGCCGGGAAGTTGTCTAGTGGACGCTGGATCGACATACCAGTCGAGCTGGTTCAGTCATACCTCAAAAACATGACCCACTACTAACTATATGGGTCAATGGGAATATTTAAATTTGCTCAAAAGTCTCGCAGTTATCATTTAAACGAGTGAGAGTAACGACAGTAGTAGAACAATTTACAATACGTTGTCTGATATGCACAAAAAGGGCGATGTGTGACTGTGCGCAGCAATGTGAGTTGGGAAAAATTCCAGTGCGCAAACGTAAGAGCGGTCATTCAGTCGGCAGAGCGCCCGTTTTTCGGTAAGCGAGTCCTTCATTAGAAGTGTTCTTTCGTTCATGCCACATGCACGTGCACTACTCATTTCAGTTTCACTTTGGCTAGTCGCACCTACTGCACTCATTACGTGCAATAACCGTCATTTGAAGAGCAGTCCAGGCGTCTAGGTTCACTCCGTCGAACTAGTTACCGATATCCTGCCATTCACCTTAGGCTTTTCAGTCGAAAGTGGGTTTGTGTCACTTAGTATCCCGTCAGCATCGGCATTACGGTACAGTTTCCCGACCATTAACGATCATTCGCGGGGGACAATCGTCGTCCTTGCCTCAAATCGTCGAGTAACTATGTGTCTTTGGTCTCAGTGGATATCGTTCAAACACTAATTTGTTCGATTTGACCTAGTTTATTTCACTGAAGTGAAATATAGTAAAGAAGCTAGTATGAGGTCACACATATGTCCTTGTTTAAGGACACGATGTGCCCCCGTAGTGTGAGAAACAGACCGTACTATCATTGCCCTAACGAGTCCGGACATTTTCAGTTGCTAGTTTTCATATGCCTTGATAATTGACTGAGGAATCCTTGGAAATGACTTGCGTACTTTTAGATAAGCGCTAATCAGTTGGTTTCCAACCCATGCAACTGACGGAGCGCTACTGAATTAGCCGACACTTCTGCGTCAATCCGTTCTCGCCGAAATAGAGGCACAGGTAGTTGTACTTTGGTAGCTCATAGGTGGTTGGTTTTTTTGTTCTCATTCGTTTCCGGCTTATGCCCGGGAAAGTGGTCTTTACCAGATTGGCTACCTAAAAATGTCGATTTCTCTTAATGGTGTTTCCGGTGTAGAGTCAATGCCCATAAGACCGATCGTAATCGCTCCATCGTGTGGTATATTTTTTCCGATGGATACCCTGTGTTGTTCCTTCCTTTTCTGTTTACCTGCCTTTTTTAACTTTTTAAATGTAAAATCCAACTGTACATCACAAGAAGACATTCGGCGGGGCATTGCAGCTTGTAGCCCGAATTTCTAGAGCAATTTACTCCGTTTTGAACTGCATAGAACGCTACAAATTGGTATCCCAGCAACTTTATGGCACTTAATTTTCACTGACCGTATCTTGACGTTCCTTGACGCTGTATTTGGACTGGTAATCTTCATACACTGGACAAGTATGTTGGATCTGTAGCACTGTCTGAGGTTTTGGGATGTTCAACAGATGTTTCTCATTTCTGTCACATTATGGTATACACTGTTCGAATCGATGATTACAGTCACTGAACACAGACCGATATGTTACTCCACAAACGGATTCGTTTTCCATGACGCGACTCTAGCGTATGAAGTGAGGTCACCAATATAAAAAGCTTTCGAAGCTGTGGTCATCTTACTAGAGTCCTCATAGCGTGATATGTACATTCATCATAATTCCACCGGATTTTGCAAAACCAGCCCCTTGAGAAAGGGGAGGCGTACTGAACGGGGTCTCTGTTTTTTTGTTCAACTCCGCACCTACCCGGCCTGGGTTGGTGCAGCTCGCTAAAACTGATTCACATACGGATATTGCCTTCATCCAGTGATCACTTCGGAAGAAAGTCTGTCGCAGACCCCGAAGTCGCGTCCATCTGACCAATTATACATTCAGGTTATGTTGTTGTTAGACTATTATATCGATGGCATCTGGTGAATTTGACTAAGGAAAGCAACTCATAGCACGTACTCTCTGTCTCAGACCCCGAAGTCGCGTTCATCTGTCCAATTGCACATTCAGGTTATGTTGTTGTTAAACTGTTATATCGATGGCATCTGGTGAATTCGACTAAGGAAAGCAACTCATAGCACGTACTATTTGCACAAGTACTTTTTATCTTTCATGTGCGTCCTTCTCTGTGAGAGGCATTCAACAATGAGCATCTCGACACGAGGAAGATACTTTTGTTTGTGAGGATTTCTTTCTGAAAGGTAATCTTGATACATTAACTTTGGAATGAACGAATTAATGTTTCGCTCTGGAGAGGTACTAATATCACCTATATGTGCCGGCAGTCGTAGCTTCTGTGTCTCCGGCCACATCGTCCTAACGCGCCTCCGAAAATTCCACTGGCTCAACACACTGTTGTTCACTTGAAGGACCAGCGAGATACTGGCCTACCAACAGTGGCTTCCTATCTGGACACTACTACAGGACCTGCAGGTATTACGCTCGCAGTCATGCCACGTAACCAATCGAGTTTTGTATCCTAATTCTGCTCCGTTTGATCCCTGTCATCGAATCATCTCAAGTGACTGAATATACCTGTGAAAGAACAATGAAGGTAGCGAACAAGGCTTGTTTTCTGTGGTTGTTCCTCTTGATTAATACAAATTACAAATTTATACGGTACCAGAAATCACGTGAGAAGGTTAAAATCGGGGCACATACACTAGAGAAATAGAAATCAATGGAAGGGGGTTGAATGAGGGGTAGGTCAATGGGTCACGGAATCAGGCAAGTGACGTCAATGTCAAACAGGCTTGTGGGACCGGATTTTTCGCAGGCCAGTTCAAGTCCAGAGGTCGCGTAAGTTTCTTTTGGACGCAAAGTTGTGGATCCAGCAGTCTGGATCGTACCAGTCGTGATCGGTTCAGAGGTACCCGGTGTACGATAGTGAAGGCTTGCTCTTTGTCGATGACATGATTGGTTTCGGGCCAAATGTAATGCAATCGCACTTGAGCCTGGTTCCTTCCAACGATCACTCAGAGATACGGGATTGTGAGCCCGCATTATGCCCGACCAACGTATGATGCTCGGCGCAAGCATGCAGACGAGTACACACAAAATCTGGTGGTAGAGCTTGGCAATTTGTCCTTCAAGCAGAAGCTCATGATAAGGCTGGAGTTGAAGCTCAAACACAGAATAGCAGCCATAGTGGGGCTGGAGTTGGAGCTCAAACGCAGAATAGTAGCCATGTATGTCTTATCAACAGAGTTTCTAAGCTTTCTGGTGATCAGTTCGGCAACCGAGCCACCTTTGAATGGAAGCTTCATGTTGACGAGCTTCTTCCCAACAGAACATTGTGTAGGTTTGAGCTTAACGGAGATTCCATATGCCTGAGTACGAACCTTTCAGGATATCCGTTCTGCAGGAATGTGCGTCCCAAGTCCAACATCCTCGAGAATTCGGCAACTATGTACACCATAGCTGACGGAATACTGATACAAACAGGGCACTCCGAAAGCCAAAAAGTATCTCGCTGATCCGTTTTTTTCTGGGACCAAATGCTAAGCACTATCTTTGTGTCATCGTTTGTTTTATGCATCAGTCGAACTTACAATGTCTTAGCAACTGCATCCGGTTTGCGCCCAGCAGCGACACGACGTCAATGATTAAGGCAAAGTTTTGAGGAAGAATTGTACGACAATCTAAGTTGGAACGATTGCTTGAAGCATATGCTAGGCAGATGTTGGTTTACTGCGGGGCCCGTAGTTTAAGGGTACAGGTTACGTGGTCTGCTTGCTTCACAGAAAGCTCTAAATGGAATTGTCGCAAAGGCCAGACAGTCTACTGTTTCGGAAACTGTCGCAGCCAAACAGGTAACCGATTCAGCTCAAGGCAAGGTGCAACCGAACGTATTATCAAGCGCGAAAGCTGTGATACTCTGTGCTGTATACCAATGCTCGATCCGCCACTGAAATCAACGGATGAGGATTGGGCTTTATATATCTGTCGTACACAGTAAGTCCATAACTGTGCGCACGAAAGGCAGCTTGGCAGCATAATTGATCACAGGGGCTATACTCAAGAAAATGGATGGTTGATCAGGACACTCAAGCTCTGTCGACCTAACTCAGCAGCAGCGGAAGTGGTCGAAGCGAGTAGATATCCGCACGGACGATCAGTGAGTATGTTTCTGACGTTCAATGATGCCAGTGGTTACCTTCTACCTTACACCGCATGCCTTTGGTGTTTTGCTTTGTTGTGGCAGAAAAACTCCGCTAAGCGGTACCATGCGGAATGGCACAATAATCTACTTGAAGGGATCGATCAAGGCAGATGTTATATTCTGCTCCGCCCCAAGCCGCATATATTGAAAGCTCAAGATGTCTGGCCAAATGGTAAATTCAACTAGATTGCCATGCATACAAGTGAAAAGTTTGCCGGTCTCTGTGAGTACTTTTATCGAGAGCCCATAAATTTCTATCGTTGTGTATGTTTAGCCTCAACACGCTTGGTGTGTGGTGGGAGCTGCAACAGCAGTAGTTTTACGCTGTGATTTAGGCAACTAACGCTGCTTATCCGAATCCCAGTGAACACCTGTTCTTCTGGTCGATGGGTGAATTTGCAACTGATCGGATAGTATCGCAGCCAAGCCGGTTATTCTCCAGCTACATTTTCAAATCGATTTGGCACTTCAGACGCCATCCAGAGACGGTTGCATCTATACAAGTTTCGTGCAGCCTTTGATACGCACAATGATCTCCCACAAACACATGATTTGAGGTCAAGCCAGTGGTTAGGTTGTGAAGCTACTGATAGCGAAGTGAATGGTTCGAATCCAAGACCATCAAATCATCAGAGACAGCAACATCAGTGTTGGCGCTGATGCTTCACTGCCATAGTTGTGTATGT